CTCTCTTGCCTCCCATTTCTTCTCTCTCCTCTCTCATCCCCTATTCCCCTCTCTTGCTCCCCATTTCTTTTCTCTTCTCTCTCATCCCCTATTCCCCTCTCTTACTCCCCATTTCTTCTCTCTCCTCTCTGATCCAATGGGTTGTATTTACAAACCCACCTCAGGGGCAACCACAACCATCTCTCTCTCTCTATCTCTATCTCTATCTCTCATCCAAACTAGAGAAACCCACAGTCTGTCTTTCATGTTCTTTTACAGGTGGGTAATGGCTTTAGACCAGAGCTGCATAGATGGGAGTACCCATATAGCTACGGAGAAAACCAATGTCATCATAGGATTTAGAAACGCTCCCAAAAAAGTTGATGAACCTCAATGGAAGAAGACCCAGTTTCCATGGTATAGAATCAGTAAATGAATTAAGCGAGAGGACAAGATAGTTCAGCAATGGAAGATAACCCAAGTTTAGAAGAATCGAACCACTAAAACTGTTATTGGATATTCGAGCATCACAATTGACACCCAAGATCGCATGCCGGCAGGGATCTTGCCTGAGAACTGATTTCCAGTGAGATTCAGCCTCTGTAGATTTGTTGCCTATGATTATTAGGGTTTCAAGCTTATTCCAGCGAAAAAGATAAAGAGGGAGTTTCCCTTCAAGTAAGTTTCCAAGAGCATCAACGATTACCAGGTCAGAATTCCAGCCAAGATTGGCCGGAAGTTGGCCAGAGAACTTATTCCCATAAATTTCGAGGTAGTTCAGAGAACTTGATCAAATTGTGAGTCCTTGGGTAAACACTTTTATCATTAATAATCGTCGTTATGTGAAATAGAAACAGACCAACCTGTTTTGTTATTGTATAGCGGTTTTTCAATTTCTTAGGTAAAAGATTTTTTTTTGTTCATGTAAAGGTTGATCAAAACCAGTGAATTTTCGACGAGAGAGAAAAAGAATGGGAGAGAGAGGAGAATGGGGACAAGAGAGAGAGAGGGGGCAATACTAGAGAGAGAGAGGGCATTAAACGTTTTTCAATACATTTGATTTGTCAACTTTCATCTCAATTTTAAGATCGGGATTTAAATCTATAGGGGTCCTATGCTGTATGTGGTAGGGTATCAATACTTCCTTCTTCTTTTTTCTCTTTTTTATTTTTTTATTTATTTTTTAATGGAAATGACCCTGTGCATCCCTCACACAGCAATGGCTTTATAAGACCCCACTTACTTGTTGTCGGATATTGTTAAACTCCTCTCTCTCTCTATCTCCCTCCAACCTGTTTCCCTTTAGAAATGGCCTTCTATATCTAAACTTGCTCGCTCTTCTCTCTCCAATTCCAGTGCTTTGGCACTGAATTGCTCCCCAGTTTTGCAGAGTAGGCTGCCAAGTTTGGTTGGCCTTTTCCTCACCATTTGATCTCTCTCTCTCTCTCTTTTATGTGTAGGTAGTGCCAACTGTAAGAGCTTCCCTTAAAAAGGTAAGGTGAGCACATAGCATATAAAAAATGAGTTTCACCAACACCAATCCCCCTCCCCGAAGGAGAAAACATACACACCCCTCTTATGTTATGAAATTTCTCTTGTTACCAAAACTATGTACCCACTCTTAGATTTATCTCATAAAACATTAAAGACATGTTTTGGTGGAACTTTTGGGTAGTGGGAGACCCAAGTTCCATTAAAATGAGTCCCCCAATTGTTGCAAGATGGAATATATAGCTTCCATAGCTCCTAAAAACAATGTTTCTTACGTAATTTTTAGGAAGCTACCTCGGAACCCGTGGTTTCTATATTTTGTGGAAGAGGGGCTCCACAAACAAATATGCCCAAAAAGGGAGAAAAAAAAGGAGGAAAAGAGTAGGTTAGGGGGTAGCTTTTCATATCCAAAGCTCAAATTTAGGTAAAATGGTTGTTTTGGCACTAAAAAAAACCAAATATTTACCCTGATGATTGTGGATACAAAATAATAATTTTCAAGCCCAACACATTGGTTTAATCCATTTTAGGAGCATACAAGTTCCTCACAATTGCACTTTCTTCTTATTCTTTTCTTTCTTTCTTTTTTTTATTTTTTATTTGTTTATTTGTTTATTTGTTTATTTGTTTATTTTTTATTTTTTAACAGTCAAATACATATGCCAGAACTCATCTTAGGAAAACTTTTAAAGGCTACAGATGCACTGCACCATTTTAACTGCTCATATTGAATGCCTCTTTATTAGAGGCGTGCAAATTGATTTATTTTTTATTTTTTATTTATAAATTCAATTCACATAAAATAATTTGGGGTATTGATTGTAACTTTATGGGTGCGCCGGATGACAAACTATTTCAAAAAAAAAAAATGGCCCAATACCTTCAAACATTTTGAATGTTTTATTTTTTTATTTGAAATATTTTTATTCATATTTGGTACAGAAGCCCCAATACAAAAGTAAATTAAAACAAAAGAAAAGAAAAAAGTTTGTAATAACTGTCAAGTATTGAACTACGATGCACCTAAAAAATCATCTAGAAGAAAGTATTCCGATGTTTGGAAAATCCTGTAATTTTATTATTTCAACCTCAATATGCATGGAAATAAAGGAAAAATAAGTTTCAAGTCCTAAACATTATACATAAAAAAAAATTATAATCCGGTGCTAATCCCGCCTACACAAGGTCTAGGGAGGGGTGAGCTGGAAACGGTCCTAACCTTTGGCTCATACACAAAGTGGCCGTTCTCAGGACTCAAACCCGCGCTGTTGCTTTGGCTGCCTGAGCTTTTTACCATCACACCACCTGACGGCCCCTCTAAATTATACAACTTGTAACAAATTATTTCGACCATCTATTTTTTGAAAAATTTAGTGTTTTAAATTACACAACCATTCTTTTTTAAAAAAATTATAACTAGAGATAAAATTAAATTTTGGCATAATCATAAAATTTCCACCTCTAAAATTAGGGGGGCACCTTGTTCTTACATTACAAAAAGGGCGTCTTGTGCATACCTCACCCTTAAAAAAAAACCAATAAAAAAACACGAAGCAAATGCCCCTCGGGTTCAATCTCTGCCTCCAAAACGTTGAAAGGTACACGTGCCTTTGCGCGTGCACGAAGACGGTGCACCATCCCAATTAAATGCCAACACATCTCCATCACTCTCTATCATTAAAAGGAAAATGGTTTGATAGGGCTGCGACCCTATCAGAGTAAGTAAATCCTCAGCTCTAACTCTTGAAAATTGTAATTGAAACACTAGAAAATCTTTACATTGATCGTCGCTGCTTGAATATTATGATCGTAAAAAAAAAAAATAAAAAAATTAAGCTTTAAAAATAATGTATAAAATAACAAATTATTTAAATCATTCATTTAACATAAAAAATAAATATTAATAGATCAGTAAGATTCGCACATTTTTTGACTTTCAACTTTTAATGTTAGTGTTGAAAATTGATTTTTGAGCGATGATGGAGATTTCGGTTGAGGAATTTTTTTGGACTACGATATGAGGTGAGTTCTAGTTTGTTTAAAGTTGAGGCTCTATACAATCAAAGCAGCGTTTTAAAAAACGTCGGGTCGAACCGGACTCTCCCGGTTCGACTCGGAATTCGCGAAAAGGGACTGGATCGGTTGAAAAATCGAAAATCGTCCGGTTCTAGAGAGAACCGGACGATTCCGTACGGTGACTCGCCGATTCACTGTACGGAATCGGGGAGTCCGAACAGTGAATCGGCGAGTCCGTACGGTA